GGAGGGGAGGGAACATGAAATAACGACACAATTCTAATACTGAAACTTTGCTGCTTGTGGTCAAAAGTTTCGATTATTTTGTTACAGTAATGAGAAACACATCAACAATAGTGGTTATATAGTGCTGGGGAAAAGTAAGATAGACAGACAGAGAGACAGACAGATAGATAGACAGACAGACAGATAGGCAGACAGACAGACAGACAGACAGACAGACAGACAGACAGACAGACAGATAGACAGACAGACAGAAACAACGGAGGGAAAGTACAGAAGTAGGACCTTCAAGTGGCACCCTCCAACCACTCGCTTTTGACCAAAGTAGAGATTTTAAAAATCTACAGATTGTGAGACAACTCAGTGATAAAACCGCACGGTGAATATATCACTCAACAGAAAACTAGGAAATCTTTGTACTGGAACACATGCAGTAATGTGAAGCCAATGTACAGATACAGACTGAAGTACACTCATTCATGGAAGAATAATTATAATTATAGTAATAATAATAATTTAATAATAATAATGACAGTTGGTCCATGATAAATTGATGATGACCTTTAACATCCAAAAAGGGAGAGAGGTCAAACTCACGGCACATTCTGATGTTTTGTTTGTTTTAGTAGAGGTTTTACGGCGCTCGAAACTGCATAAGGTCATATGAGCGCCAGGAGATTAGTAGAGGTGTTACAAAAGAGCAGCAGAACATACACAAAAAAAGCAGAGATAAGGACGATAGATGTTTGATAGGAAAGAAGGAGCAAACCACACCAGAGCACCCGCCAACCACGCACAGAGTGGGATATAGTCCATTAAAAGATGAAGGACAGGAAGGAGAGAATCAAATCCCTTTAGCTGCGAGCATTTCGCTCTTGGGGAGAGGAAGGAGAAGAAGTAGGTCCAGCCATCCAGGAACACAACATGAAAGGTACATTTGTAAAAATCCAGCATTAAGTGAATGAGTCATTAAAAACAACTAATACAAAGCGAATGAATGAATCACAAAATGTAGGGTACAGGAGACAATCATAAAAATAATAATAATAATAATAACAGATAACATTTTTATAGCGCAAATCCCCACTCAACAGCAAGCTCTAAGCGCTTCACAATCAATACTATTACCTCAGCAGACCTGAGAGCATTCTGAAACAACCTCAACTTCCTGCCTGGGAAGCATACAGTGCAAGCAGCCATTTCTAGGCGCTAAAACACTAACAAACTGACAAGACCTTTCACTGTCTATGGCTGGACATTCCCACCTGGGTGAAGTGAGAAAAATTCGTGTGAAGTGCCTTTCGTAAGGACACAACGTCGGGCCCGCGGCTCGAACCCTCGAACTCACAACTTCACGATTACGAGTCCGATATCCTAACCACTAGGCCACGACCTCACGATTACGAGTCCGGTAGCCTAACCACTAGGCCACCGACACCACAACCTCACGATTACGAGTCCGATATCCTAACCACTAGGCCACGACCTCACGATTATGAGTCCGGTAGCCTAACCACTAGGCCACCGATAACCTCAAAATTATGAGTCTGGTAGCCTAACCACTAGACCACCGACAACCTCACGATTACGAGTCCGGTAGCCTAACCACTAGACCACCGACAACCTCACGATTATGAGTCCGGTAGCCTAACCACTAGGCCACCGATAACCTCAAAATTATGAGTCCGGTAGCCTAACCACTAGACCACCGACAACCTCACGATTACGAGTCCGGTAGCCTAACCACTAGACCACCGACAACCTCACGATTACGAGTCCGGTAGCCTAACCACTAGACCACCGACAACCTTACGATTACGAGTCCGGTAGGCTAACCACTAGACCACCGACAACCTCAAAATTATGAGTCCGATAGCCTAACCACTAGGCCACCGACACCACAACCTCACGATTACGAGTCCAGTAGCCTAACCACTAGATCACCGACAACCTCACGATTACGAGTCCAGTAGCCTAACCACTAGATCACCGACAACCTCACGATTACGAGTCCGGTAGCCTAACCACTAGGCCACGACCTCATGATTACGGGTCCAGTAGCCTAACCACTAGGCCATGCCGCCACTTGTATCATCACACAAGAACTACACAAACACTCTAGTATGTCACAGAAGACGACATAAGAAACACAACATTCAACAAATTTGATTTGTGGGTTTGTAAAACGGTGGAATAATTTCCTCCATATATTAGAAGAGGTTGGTGGTTTACTGAAAGCTTTGGGTGAATAGCAAAAATCTCAAACAATCTGTCCCAGACGTTTTATGTAAAAAAAAATTCTAAAATTATGCAAACTGAGCCCAAAAAATGTGAAATTATGCGATTCTGAATTTTAACACAGAATGATAAAGGAAAATAATCAGAAATTATGCAAAAAATAATCAAATTTTGGTAAATTATGCGGGGTGCATAAAACCACGGATACAGCAACAATCTTTGGTGACAAAAGTAACGCTTGAACATGGCAGGCCTAACCAGTCAAACGGGACAAGGTTTATGGTGAAAAATCGCCCGCCAGTCCACGAAGACTGGGATATCTATCAACGTCTTTGGTCTGTTCTTTAACACACGCACCCAGACTAGACTCTCGGCGAGTTGTTGTGAGTTGTGACTCAAAAGGTACAAATTCTCTACTACAACGGCCAGCATTTTCTAACATTAACTGTCCGATATGGTATTTCTAATTTTTTAATAAAAAAGAGACTTTTCCTCTCTTCGTAGAAAAAACTTATGAGCAGAGATATTATCTAAACAGGATGAAATAAACAAAAATTCATAATAGACAACACTGCCACAATTACTTTAGTTTTAGTTTCAGTAGTAGAGGTTTTACGGCGCTCACAACTGCATAAGATCATAATATGAGTGCCAGAAGATTAGAGGGGTTACAAGAGAGTAACAAACATAAAAAAGACGGGGAGATAAGGACGATAGATGTTTGATAGGAAAGAAGAAGCAAACCACACCAGAGCACCCGCCAACCACCCATTAACATTAACTGTCCGATATGGTATTTCTAACTATTTTTTTTCAAAGGGATTTGGCAGCAGTGACATTATCTAAAGAGTAGAAAATAAACCAAAATCACAGTAGACAACACAGCCACAATTACTTGGAGAAAGGAAGTTGGACTAAGCTACAACGAACATCCCCTCAAAGGTGTGCGCACATCCCTCAACAGCCAGGCCTATCACAAAACGCTAAAACACAGTCACTTCTTCCATCAACATTAATTTTTGTCAATCAATACTCCATTTTTTCAATAAAAACTCATTTTTTGCAGTCAAAGTTCAATTTTTTTTTCAATCAACATTCAGTTTTGTCAATCAATGTTCCATTTTTTCCATAAAAACTCTGCTCTTCCATTCATAGTTCTGGTTTTTTTTCAATCAACATTCAGTTTTTTCAATCAATACTCCATTTTTTCAATAAAAACTCCCGTTTTTTTCAGTCAAAGTTTTGTTGTTGGGGTTTTTTTTTCAACCAAAATTTTGTTTCTTTCAATCAAAGTTGAGCTTCAATTCACCTTTTTCCCCGACCCTCTTGGGCGGCAACAGGAAGCAGATGCACAGCGCGATGGACACGTGCCAGAAGCTGTGCACGTACTTGTAGTTGTCCTTGGTCTCCACGAAGGAAAAAACGGCCGCCCCCACGGCCGCCAGGACCACGCCAGGCATCAGAAACAGCAGATAGCGTCGCGGGCTCGGGTACAGCTTACGTCGCTTGTACATTTTGTGGCCCTGTCGAGAGAGAGAGAGATGAAAATGTCACAGTTATACGAACAGCTTACGTCGCCTGTACATTTTGTGGCCCTGCCGAGAGAGAGAGAGATGAAAACGCCACAGTTATACGGACAACTTAAGTCGCTTGTGGCACTGCCGGGGGAGGGAGGGAGGGAGGGAGGGAAAGAGAGAGAGAGAGAGAGAGAGAGAGAGAGAGAGGGGGATGGAGAGAGAGGGAGAGAGCGAGAGAG